GAGCAGCAGAGCCTAGGCAGGGGGAAGGAGCAGGCTGCAGCATCAGGAGGACAGTTTGCCTGCACCAGTGCTGTGTGAGTCTGAATTCGGCAGGTGGTGGGCACCATCCGTACTGGTGCAGCATTCAGCCCAATCAAGGCAGAGATCAATCAGTATTCGTGCTTTGTGTGCAAGTGCCTTAAAATGAGATGAATGAAATTAATTGCCCATGAAACGCCACCTTCCAAAGGAAGCGTGGAAGAATGCAACTTCAGAGCCGTTAAGGGAAATGTTGATGGGAAGGTTTTGCTCAGGTATCGAACACACACACACACACACACACACACAACTTCCAAAGAGCAAGAACAACTGATGAGTCCCACAGTGTGCTGTTATTCTGTTGCTTTGTGGATGCTTAAAACTGCAAGAATAGGAACCAAAACTTCATTCTCAGTCATTCTCCTTACTTTTTCTTACTGAAAAAGTCTATTTGAATACACAGCCTTCCTCTGCCTGTGATAAGATCAAATCCCCAAAACCTCACTTTTAGTGCAGAACTGAACATGTCCTTGAAACAGAAGGAAAGCTAGCAGCAGCCTGGGTTTCAGGGAAGCAATTAAGGCAAGCGAACAGAGCTGGGCTGTGGCTGCAGTGGTGGGGAAGTGGCTTCGCTGCTCTGCCACAGGCTCTGGGATGCTATAAATCCCATCTCCCCTCAGTGCTTCGGTATTGCCATTCAGCAGGCAGCAACCGAGCCAGCCTCAAACCCCAGCTGCTGATGCCACTTGCTTGAACAACCACTTAGCAGGTGAAAGGATGCATCTCTTTTTTCGATATTTTAAAATGGTACTAAAAGGAATGGTCACAGTGCCTGCACATAAGTACTGTTTAAAATTAGATAAGCAATGATAATACTAAGCAACAGAATTTTTTGCCTTAGCTTTCGCAACTCCCTATAAGTTGTTTTGTTTTTTTTTTCTCTTATGCATGCTCTCCATTGATTTTGTAGAGCGTGTGTAATTGCAAAACTTGATCCTGAAGGAGGCTAATGAAACTTTTTATAGCACTTTCAGGTTAGTCATAAAAGCACAGTATTTAAGCTAGGAATCATTTATTGTTTTTATTACTGTTATTGTTATTAGTTTCTAAAATTAAAGATAGCCTACCTCAGCATGTGCAATAATTAAGCTCCTCCAAAATAACAGATAGCAATAGCTATGCTCTGTGTTTTCTTTGAAAAAGCCAGAATTTCTGTCCTCGGTCATTCAAGACATGGTGGGGGGGGGAGAAGAATTTGGTCCCCCTCTTCTCCAGTACCCTTCTCATATAGCCCTAACATTTTCATTTGCCCATTAAGAACCTCTTTTAATTTAAAAATAAATAATAAAAAAAATAATAAAAATAATAAAAATAATAAAATAATAAAATAATAAAAATAAAAGTCTTTCTTTGTACTCCTTGTTCTCAGTGCATAGTTGTACAGCCTGACTGTAGGGGACAATGAGTGAATCATAATAGCAAATGTCAACAACAAAAGATCTCCAATAGCCCATTAGCTGTTTGAGTTCATATTTGTTATTTACTGAGTGATGGTGAATAATGAACAAATTGCTGTAAATCATTACAGATTTGTGGCTTAAGTCGCTAGTAAAAAGGGAAAATCGGTTAAAGTAATTACATAATTTATTTGCAAGGAAAAAATTGCCTCCTTCTGGTTAATATTATATAGGTTAGACACAGCACTAGCAAGAGGAATAAAAGTAATTGGTGCAAATCAGTTGAGGACACGCAAAAAAATAGAAAAGGAAATGACAGGAGAGTGAAAGAAATTCTTGCAAAATGCCTCGATAGACCTATCTGCCCTAATCTCTGGGACTGAGATCTGTATAAGCACCAGCAAGTTAGACAACGCTGGAGATGGGCACCCCAAGCTGTGCTTGTAATCAGTAGCTAGAGGAGTAAATTAAGTTAGTTAAATCCCCTTCTAGCTAAACAAGGCTAATCTTCGGACTGCCGTGCCTAATTCATGTACAAGTTCAGGTTTCATTTTTTCCTCCTATCATACTGGATTGGGTCAGTAGTGCCGCTGATGCAAAAAGCATGCAAGTTTGCTTGTCATGCAGGCATGCCTTCCTAAAGGTAAATTACAGTTCTGTAGCTGTTATACACATGGGCAGGCAAGTCAGAGATTGTACAATCGAAGGAAAATACCAATTCCCAGCACACAGACCGCGTAGGGAGCAACAAAAGGGACCGATCCTAAAATAGAACGGTATCTCACTGTTTTTCCGTTGGCTTTGTGGAGCACACGCGGGGACGCCTCTTTGTGCCTTTGCTTGAAACGTTCTCCAAATCAGATTCCATTTTAGGTTAGTCCCGAAGAAGATGTAAGATGAAGTGGTGTCCCAGAGTGTTCTTTGTTTCGTCCTTAAAGAAAACATGTTTAATCAGGGGTCAGTCTTATCAGACATTATGCAAAATCTTATGACTTAAAAAGTCCTGCTCAGCATCTGATTTAATTAGCTCTAATATTTTTTTTCATTGCAAAGTCAAAGGCTTTCCAAATTAATGCAGCTATCTGAATATTTTTGGGCAGGAGCCTGTTAATGCTGAAATGTTGTTTTGCAAAAACATGTTATAACTAAAGCTCATGATGGAAGTAATTTGTAATATTCAATGACCTCATTTTATACTGTTTTGCTCACGAGAAGCTAATGCATATGATGCCATGTGAAACCCTCAGACAAGCCTGTCTGCAGGACTTATGGGAGCCATAAATGGATTAAACCTCTCACTCCCTGCTTTGGCAAGTGATCAGTTACATTTAAATAAAGGTCAGCCTGTCTTTACAAAGAACACACTGGAAGCAAGCTTAATAGCTTTCCCTTCTGAGCCTAGAACATAACTATTTGAAGTATAATTAACAACGGGGTGCCAGTCACTGATTGTGCTTTTTGTTTCATTTTATGTCTGGGGAGATCCAGTATTCCCCATTAGTTTTAAGAGGGGTCACAGTGCTAGTTATCAAATTGACAGTCTTGACCCTGGCCCTGTAAAACATTGTTTGGGACAGTTCAGATGAATGCCAAATGCCATACCAAGACCAGAACCATGACACTGCTACAAATTGGACACTTGTGTTCTGTGCCATGACTCCAAATGACAGTGCAGGTATGACATCTGCCAGGCATGAGAGCACAGACTTGCTTATTCTAAATACTAGGTGACCGTGATAAGGAAGAACATCAGCTGTCCTATTATCCCATCTTATGAGCTCTATATTTTGGATTCCCTATAAAATACCCAATTCCTGTTCTTTTCAGCATTAACAGAGTGACCATGCCTGCCGTCTATTAAAATGTAGGTAGGATATTCCTTGCAAGAGGGGTAGAATGAATTGGAAACAAAAGGCACTGACCACAAAAGGGTCACTTTGTCAAGTGAATTAAACATTTAGCCCATGTGAGGAACTTAAGAGTAAACAAGGCATGTTCTTGAGAATGCTTCATTTATTTGGGGGGTTCCTGACTGGTATTTGTAGCCCTTGTGGCAGAAGTGATAATCATCAATCGTGAAGAGAACATAGCTGATAGAGCAATTTTGGTAGTCTGCAGACAGCCTGAAATCCTAATGGAGATCTGTGAATTACCTTGCCCTGGCTGACTGGAGCACCAACTTCAGCAGTCCAGTGACTGCACTTCAGTGTCATCGTCAAGTAATTCCACTCTGATCATTTCATCTAATGTTATCAGGGAGTGGGTAAGAGCAAAACACCGTGGACTGGCTTTTGAGAATTTCTGAAGATAATGCAAGAGCAGACAGGAGAGGTAAGGAGGGGAGGACAGGAGAAACAGCAAAAGAATGAGGAGGAAGAGAAATTAGAAGGCAGAGAAGAGGATGGGATTAGATAGAAAGGATCTATTAAGTAAAGATGAACATGATGTGAAGTATCATGAGAAAAATATCAAAGCCTTACATTCTGGTTGTGATACAAAGACTGTATTTTTCCTTTCACCTCAGTGTAGAAGTTCAACCTACTTTCATCTCATCCACTCTCATCTGATATCTTGCCTGATGACTGTATTCCCAGATCAGGTCCACTAAGAGTGAGCAGAGGTCTGTATCCCCAGAATGCGTCTCTGTTAGTGATCATAAAATAGAAACCAGAAGAGGAGGATGGCCAACCAGAGATTAAAATCATGCACTTTTCCCAGTTTACCTGCACATTTGGGTTACACACAGGATTTCAGGTCTGTTGGTCATTATTTCCTTTCATGAATGTTATGTTCATCTTAAGAGTTAATTAAATTACAAAATATGGGAACCACCAGGAGAAATAGAGCTGCATTTGGTTTTACGTACCCTTAGACGTGCTAAAGTAAGAAAATCAATGCCTTAAGCAATTTCATACTATTCTGTGTCTCAGTTCTACCATTCTGTGTCTCTAAAATCTATTTGTGCTTTTTTGTTTGTTTCATTTCTAGGATTTCTTTTTCCTGAAAAAAAAAAATTGCATAGGAAGTGCAGAAGTCAGTGACTGATTTACTTGACAGTGTTCAGCTTACATGAAGGTTTCATTTTTTTGCAGTCTTTCTACAAAGCAGCCAACTAAAACTCTGCTTCCAACATAGGCACTTCAAGGTCATATTTCTTTGTTTCCACCACAGGTCAGATGGCCCATCACCAGGAAAAACTAATTTCAAAGCATCTTCCATCACAGGCACTCCAAGATATTGAAATGAAACACCCAGCCAAAGAAAATACTTTTTCTTTAACCCATCAACCCCGCGTCAGTGAAGCAGAACTCTCCTCCAGCTCTGGCAATAAGGTTTGCTAGTCAGGTAGCAAATGCGCTTCGGTGGCTTAGACCTCCGTAATATTTTCTCTCTCCTGCAGGACATTTACTTCAAGAACAGTTAAAAGACAGATACGTCTCCTTTGAGCCTTTTAGCATGTCCACGTTACGTTATTCCACGTGTTGATTTGAGTACTTTAAACACTTGCTTTGTTCTCTATTGTAGGTCATGGGTTATATGGGACATTTGAAATGTTGTCCTCCTGGAGAAAAACTAGAGAAGACCAACATGTTAAAGAGAGGACTGCAGCCGTATTTGCAGACTCCATGCTCTCGTTTTCTCTCACCACTGCCATGTACCTGGTCACTTTTGGAATAGGTGCCAGTCCCTTCACTAACATTGAAGCAGCCAGGATTTTCTGCTGCAATTCCTGTATTGCAATTTTCTTCAACTACCTCTATGTACTCTCCTTTTATGGTTCCAGCCTGGTGTTTACTGGCTACATAGAAAACAACTACCAGCATAGTATCTTCTGTAGAAAGGTACCAAAGCCAGAGGTATTGCAAGAGAAGCCTGCATGGTATAGGTTTCTTCTGACAGCCAGATTCAGCGAGGACACGACAGATTCAGAGGAAACGAACACCTATGAGAGTCATCTTTTGGTGTGGTTCCTTAAACGTTATTATTGTGACTGGATAACAAACACTTATGTCAAGCCTTTTGTAGTTCTCTTTTACCTTGTTTATATTTCCTTTGCCTTAATGGGCTACCTGCAGGTCAGTGAAGGGTCAGACCTGAGCAACATCGTAGCGACCGCCACACGGACCATTGAGTATACTACTGCCCAGCAGAAGTATTTCAGTAACTACAGCCCGGTGATTGGGTTCTACATCTACGAGTCAATAGAGTACTGGAACACCAGTGTCCAGGAGGACGTGCTGGAGTATACCAAGGGCTTTGTGAGGATATCTTGGTTTGAGAGCTACTTAAATTACCTTAGGAAACTCAACATATCTACCGGATTGCCCAAGAAAAATTTCACTGATATGTTGAGGAACTCCTTCTTGAAGGCCCCTCAGTTTGCCCATTTTTCAGAGGATATCATCTTTTCCAAGAAATACAACAATGAAGTCGATGTTGTGGCCTCCAGGATGTTCTTGGTGGCCAAGACAATGGAAACCAAGAGGGAAGAACTTTATGACCTCCTGGAGACCCTGAGGAAGCTCTCTCTCACCTCCAAGGTGAAATTCATCGTTTTCAATCCATCATTTGTGTACATGGATCGTTATGCCTCTTCAGTGGGAGCCCCCTTACAAAACTCCTGCATTAGTGCTTTATTTCTGCTCTTCTTCTCTGCATTCCTGGTGGCAGACTCTCTGATCAATGTCTGGCTCACTCTAACTGTTGCCTCGGTTGAGTTTGGAGTTATAGGTTTTATGACCTTGTGGAAAGTGGAACTAGATTGTATTTCTGTGTTGTGCTTAATTTACGGAATTAATTACACAATTGACAACTGTGCTCCACTGTTATCAACCTTTGTCCTGGGCAAAGAATTCACAAGAACTAAATGGGTGAAAAATGCCCTGGAAGTGCATGGGGTAGCTATTTTGCAGAGCTACCTCTGCTATATTGTTGGTCTGATTCCTCTTGCAGCTGTGCCTTCAAATCTGACCCGTACACTGTTCAGGTGCTTGTTTTTAATAGCATTAGTCACCTTCTTTCACTGCTTTGCCATTTTACCTGTGATATTGACTTTCCTGCCACCGTCCAAGAAGAAGAGGAAAGAGAAGAAGAATCCTGAAAACCGTGAGGAAATAGAGTGTGTTGAAATGGTGGATATGGATAGCACCCGAGTGGTTGACCAAATTACAACAGTCTAACTTGTTTGTTTGTTGCTTTTTTACACTAGGTCTTACTTAGAAAAAAAAAAAAAAAAAAGAAAAAAAAAAAAGAAAGAAACCAGTGCTGACTCAGTATCTGGGGAGAGAAAGGGGTTTGGAGGTTTCTCCTCCCCTCTCTAAACTAAATCCAGGAATATCCAAAACAATGGGAGAATTTCAAAAAAAAAAAAAAAAAGAGCGGGGGGATTGTACCTTGATCAGCTCCTATAACAGATATTATTAGAGAATTTGCATACCCATGCAATGAGGGGTTGAGTTTTAGAACATGATGTAAGACCTAATGAGAGAGGTTGGGTTCCTAAGCAGTCTTCTGCATTGCCTGTACTGCAGATACTGCAATTATTGTTGCTAAACCCCATCAGATTGAAAGGTCAACTGTCAAGGCTGAAGTAGCACTAAGTGTTCGCTGGATGTAAAGGCTTTACAAACTTTCTGCACAGCAATAACTCAAGTCAGTGAGTCAGCTCTTATAGGTCTTAGCCATCACATTTAATTTTTCTTTCCTCCCCTAATCTAAACATTTATGCAAGACTGTATAACAGATAGCAAACTGTACTGGAAAAAAAAAAAGCAGTACACAGCAACCAAACAATTTCCAAACCCTTTTGTGTTATAAATCTTCTTTTTTTCCTAAAAATATCCTTATTTTAAAATGTAAATCATCCCATGTAACATTTTTAATCATGATTTTATAGCTGTTTCTGTTTCTTATAAAAACAAAAAAAAAAAAAAAAAAAAAAAAAGAAAAAAAAAAAAAAAAAAATCCCAGTGACTCTGTCACTCTAGAAAACATATAATTATATTTTATAAATGTCTCGCTACTAGGTAAACACATAACCTGCTTTACCAACTGTAATTTTTTTAGCACTCTACTAACACATGCGAGTGGATCTAGCAGCGGACAGAAGACGGTGTACTGAATATTTCAGCACCAAAATCCATGACACAGACCTCACGTATTAATATATCATCAAGAAAGTGAATGTTAGGGCTCTTTTAGTGAGAGCCTATTTCAGGCCATTCACTGGTAATGCATACTAAGAGGATTAGTGGGTAGTTTTACGTAATGTATAACTTAATCCTTCGATCTTCCTAGAGTACTGGTAAAGCAATAGACCTTACAGCTATGGGCTCTTCCAAGAGATGCATACCAAGAGAGTTGTACATAACAAACTGAAGGCTGGGACTGCAGTTTAGCAGTAGCAAGTTTAACAATGTCCCCAAAGAGCCCGTAACAAAGGGGCCTATTGGAAACATCACATCTGAGGAAAGAAAGAAAGAAAGAAAGAAAGAAAGAAAGAAAGAAAGAAAGAAAGAAAGAAAGAAAGAAAGAAAGAAAGAAAGAAAGAAAGAAAGAAAGAAAGAAAGAAAGAAAGAAAGAAAGAAAGAAAGAAAGAAAGAAAGAAAGAAAGAAAGAAAGAAAGAAAGAAAGAAAGAAAGAAAGAAAGAAAGAAAGAAAGAAAGAAAGAAAGAAAGAAAGAAAGAAAGAAAGAAAGAAAGAAAGAAAGAAAGAAAGGTTATAAAGATTACATTACCAAGTCTTTTTGGAGCTGTGAGTTCTAAATCAGTAATTCTGTCAGCATCTGTGATGTGGAGTAATGCAGATAAAGAAGCATCTCTTCCTTCCTCCACCCCTCCACCCTTCAGAACTACAAGTTTATTACTGTAAGGGTTTATTATGGGGTTGGACCCCTGTGGGGTTATGCAAGCCAGTTCTGTAGGTTTTGCTGGGAGTGCTCCAGCTATAAATGGACTGCGAATACCCGGCTGCAGGAATCTGGCCTGTATGTTGGGTGATCTCATGAATGTATGGACCCAAGAGTGCAGTAAAAGTTTTCAGCAGCTGGCACAGTGCTTGCTTCAGCCGTGGTATCTAGAGGTGGGATGGGTATTGCAGGGGCTTGGGCTGCTGAGAGCACTGTGTCTCAGAGGATGCCTGTGTTACACAGACCTATTATCTCATCTGTGGCCGCAGCCCCGGGGTATGCTTCATTGTGTAAAAATTCTCTAAAGCATCAAGTCCCGGCAACCCCCAGCTGCTAATGCCGCCTTGTAAATATGAATTTTCAAGCAAAGAGATACTTCTAGAGCTTCCTTCCTGGAAGAAAAGATAACCAGATATTTTGCCTTCCCTGAGCAAAATGTTACTGACTAGCAAAACAAGTTGGCAGAGCAGCTGGCAACGTTTGCTTTCCCCTGGATAACTCTCTTCTCTGACCAGAAGGGAAGGAAGCAGAGTTCAGGAATGCACAGGCTCTTTGCTTGAACAAACACCATTTGCTGTAGTAGCAACAGTAACAACAACTTCAGCCTTGGCAGAAGTCAGGCAGACACCTTGAAGACAGCCAAATGAATGTGAGGTGAGGGGAAAGACCTGTTTCCTCTCTTTTCTTTAGACTCAGGCATGGGGCTATGTTTTCCAGACAGAAATCATTCCTCCAATGTACTTTCAGTGTAGATTTTCTGTGACGGCCATTATGTCATTTAAATAACAATCTCCCTATATCCTGGCTGCTCAAGTGGCAGCTGCAGTGACTTTTAAAATTCAGAGGGCATTAACAAATCAGTTGAGAGCTACAGAGAAATTGCAAACCATTTTTGACAGCAGCAATCTTCTGGCTTGTGGGACACCTGGAAACAGATGTGTGAAAGAGGTGGTTTGTACATGGCAGAGAGGAATAAATACATAGCAAGCACTGATTTGACACCTCTGCTGTCCCTGATGCTATCACTTGCAAATGCAGGATGCAAGGATGGCTACCGTAAACCTCCCACATCTAATTGAAATGCATAGATAGGAGTGTCTTTAAAGAGATGTCCAAAGACAAGCTTCTAGTTTCATAGGTCTCTCATTAAGTCTCAGCATGTGAAGCCTTCAGAGGTCTTCAGGGAAGGTGAGAAAAACAGTGATAAAATCACTCTTCTGTCTCCAAAACCAATGCAAAAAGAACACGGAGGCCCTGCTATGGCAAAGCACAAAAGTACAAGTTTAGGTATCCACAGAAGATAGGGTGAGAAGTCATGAAGCCCACATCTTTGCCCCAAGGAAGAGACAATGATATTGAAGTCGTTTCTGGGTGATATTTGTAACAGTCCATTCTTAAAGGTCTTTTAAAGGCAGATTCTTCCCCCACCAGGTTCCTCCCGTGCCATCTTACCCCAAAAATAACTCATTCTGGCTGTCCGCAACCAGGAAGGAGAAGAGGAGCCATGTCCCTTTCCACACAGAGAAGGCCAGGCCAGGCCAGACCTGGCAAGGGACAGCTTCTGAAGCCTCCCCACCCCTCAGAAACCCAAAGCAGAGCCAAAACCAGCTTCCCTACGTGTCTCACCGTGTTTCACCTCAAGTTGCCACTCTGTTCCCAACTTGCAGGCTTGGTGACGTAAAGCCATGAAAATGCTTAGGGTGTCCTCAGCCAAGGTCCAAGAGATTCCTGCCTGAATCCTGATGTGTCTGAGAGAGACACCACATGCTCCTTCTCTCCAGGTAGCTTGAATACCTCAGCATGAACCAGAAACAGCACCTTCTCAAGGCTTCTCAGACTATGCTAACCCACTTTGGCCTTCCTTCCCTTTGACTTTTTCCTCTGGAGCAATTGTCTTCACCAAAGTCAGTTGGTACTTGCTGCATCCGCTGATTAACAGGTGCAGATATTGTGCTCTGTTCTCAGCCCAAAGCACTCCAAAATGCCAACTCTGTGTAAGATTTTACCCTCACTGGTGAACCTCTATTTTGGAAGACTACCTAGGCTTAAGCAGTTTTTGTCACACTCTTGTCTTTCTAGCCCAGGTTTCACTGTGGTTTTGTTTGCAATATAGACAACCCAGCTTTTGTATAAATTTAGTGAGTAACAAACTATTATACACTGTCAGGCACTGACTAAAATTGAACAGCAAAAATTTTAATTATGGATAACAAGAATATATAGGACGGTGGCTCACTGAGAGCATATATCTTCTACAAACATTGACATTTCCATACAGTAAGGTATGGTGTATAGTATATTTTTACTACAGGGTAAGCATGGGAAAAAATAACCAATATGAGTGCATATGACCAGCCCATTTTTCTTACAACATAATTCCTAATGTTGGCGTAGCACAAGTCCATTTTCAATTTACAAGTGCTCTAATTGGAGGGAACAAAAATGAAGAGAGAAAAGTTGGTATAGTTGGAATAACTTAAGCATAAAAATTAATTGATGAAGCCAGAATTTTCTGCCCAAAGCTTTATGTGAAAATGTTCTATCTAGATTAAAATTAGAGCTGTGAAGGCTGAGAAAAGCCTGTGTAGCAAAGAAAGGTTTTCCAAAGACAAGAAAACACATTTAGCATGGAAAACTGCATGAACCTGAAGGGAAAACAACACCAAAGTGGCTTGAGGTTGCATTGAGCCATGTGAGGATTTGCATCTGCTCTCAGAAGCTTTCTGAGCCAGTGCTGAAGTCAGGTAACATGTGTACTGTAAATTGAAAGGTGTACTTTTAAAGGCTTTTCTCGCGGCTAACTGTCCTCTGGTGAGCCACCAAATCCCACCGCAGCCAACACCTTGCTTATTTTTATTAAAAGAGGAAACAAAACAGAGTGGCTGCACACCTGGGTAAAATTCAGAAGAGTCAGGCGTGACTTCTCTTTTAAACAGGGAGAACATCAGAAAGAGCTCTTTAGCATGTGGTTTTTGTGGGAGAAATAATGGTTGTTGCAGAAGTTAGCAAATGGGTGCTTTTCATGTTTCTCAGCTTTGGAAATAGAGCAGTCCTGGAGATTTGGGAAAAGGGAGCAGGCTGTAGGAGCTGGCCTTTCGTTTGTTCTGTGCCCTGAGCTACTGCATTTACCCTTGCATGGATGGGAGCTGAAGGCAGGATGGGAAAACAAGAAGGAAACAGGATGCACGTTGGGCACACCACAGCCAGGGGCAAGGGCACCTCCCAGGGCACCATCTAGGGCACCAGGTCTGTGCCTCAGCCTGACCCCACAGCTCATGCAGGGTGCAAGCAGCCCCGAGCATGCACAAGGGCCTGTGCACACACAGCAAGCTCCTGGTGTGCCTGATGTTACAGCACTGCCTCACTGCTTTCTGAATCAGAGCTCACAAGTCCATGGGAAGCCACTTTCTGGAAAAACCCTGAACAGAAACTGTTACCAAGAGCCCTTTCCTCCCTTGCATTTGTGGATATTAAAACTCCATATAAATTTGATTAATATTTTATCCATATAAAGCAAATTGTAAGATTTGGGGCGCATACGCAGGGGCAAAGTGTTTCTTCCTGCAGCTCTGATGAGAAGGCAGCATAGGCAGGCAGCATCCTCCACCTGCAGCAGGGCACCACACCTCTGTCATAGGGATACCCCCACGAACCCCAGGGCAGGCACAGGGGGAACCTTACTCCCTCTCCCCCCATCCCCAATCTCATTAGCGAAGGGGGAGATTTAGCTCCAAATTTTGTCAGAAATGGGCACCCAGGGAGCCCTTGTGAAACCCATCCTCTGCCAGGATAGTGCAAGGGAAAACTCGTCTGTTTGTGTTTTTTTGTTGTTGTTTTTATTTTGGAGAAAGGCATGGCAAAGGC